AAATACATTATATGCACACATAACATATATAAAATAATTATTATTACATACAGGCAACCATGATCCAGGTCAAGAACTAGAACACTGCCAAGGCCACAAAAAAAGGCCCCATCCCACCATCTGCTGTATGCCTCTCTCCATCATTACTCCTCTTCTCTCCACAAGAGGTGGCCACCATCTTGATTTTTATAATTCTCTCCTTGATATTCATTTTACTACTTAATTATGTATCCCTAAATAACAGTTTACCTTTTTTCTTGTGTTTGAACTTTATACAAAGAGAATCACACTGGGGTATGCTGTGGGTAGGTTGTATTGTAACTCCACGTTATGTTTGAGAGAATGGTCCACTTAATTAAACATTCCTTCTGCTGTTAATGAACATTTGGGTTGTTTCCACTTTTGGCTCTTCTGAATCCTGACTTGAACATCCATGTACATGTGCCAGAATTTCTTAGAATATCTTCCAAGGTTGGAAATGCTGGGTCTTCAACTTTACTGGAAAATGACTTACAATCTTCCAAAGTGAATATATAAACATACGCACCAACTGTGTGTGCCACAGAACTCACTCTGAATTAATTACTGGCCTTCAAAACTTCACTGTTACAATGAAAATCCTGCTAGAATAAAAACACACTTAGGTAGTTATTATCAGCAAGAGCCTGCCATCCAAATGGCATTTGAGAATTAGATCAGAGGTGGATGCAAAGCATAGTTAATTCTGGAAGAATAAAGAACTTATAAAGAACAGTCCCCAAGAGTAGGGCCCTTGTCCAAAAAACCAAGTTGGATCACACTTTGCAATAACAGCAACAGGCGGACTTCACAGCAGCCGCAGAGACAGGGAAGGAAAACGTGACCAGCTACAGGTGGGAACGTGGAGAGCAAGTGAAAAGACTTTATTTAATAACTTAACCTGAGACCACCAATTTTGAAATGCTTAGCGACTCAGACCACTACCACTGATCATTCAATAAGCAGACTCGACAATCAGTTTACTCAAGAAGACTTTTATTTTAATTTCTCAGAAAAATGAAGACAGCAATGATGGCCAACAGAATTTACCTTTATGTCTAACATTCAAGGGAAAAAAGAAATTAGACTTTCCCAGACTTCGCTGACCAGTTAAACTTTTACCAACAAAAATTATCAGATAAATACTAAGTCTAGGCAGAGCTAAAATCCCTGGTAAAGTTGGGATAAGATGCTGACAGCAAGTCAAGCATGATTACTTTTTACTATTCTCACACTTCCTACTGAGAAAAAATAGGCTAGGAGGAAACATGACAGAATAGGATTCAAAATCCAGATCTGTTCAACTTCAAGACTTCTGTTCCTTACATTAAGCCACATAGACAGAGAAAGGGTTAACATCATAAGCCAATTTTAAATGTCCAAATTAAAAACCTAAAAGTTGCACTGTTATCTCTAACTTTAATTACTCTGGCGCTAGTTAATCCATTACCTACTAAAAGAAAATAGAAAATGGAATCAAAAAAGGTAATACACTCTTCAGAAGCCTGAAATGCACAGCAGTGTAGCTGTACCACCTCCATAACCTAACACGGCAGTGCAAGTTGCAGTGGAGTAAGACAGACCTAGTGAGCAGCAAAGGCAATTAGCCAATCACACCACATCATACACATACAACTTGCTAAGAGGGTACGTTAAGTGGTCTTACCAGAAGAAAAAAAGTGATAAAAATAAAGAAGGTAAGAAGCAACTTTGGGAGGAGAAGAGTGTATCTGTAACCTTGACAACAGTGGTGATTTTGCGGGTTTATACTTATCTCCAAACTCACCAACCTGTATACAGTAAATACATACAGCTTTTACAAGTCAACCACGCCTTAATAAAATGACTTAAATGTACTAGTTATGAAAGAATATAAGAAGTGATAAAATTTAACACACTTCAGAAAACAAAACAAAAATTTGAATTTTAGTAAAAATATAGAGAACATCTTTGTGATCCTGAGAGAAGGACTGATTTCTCAAATAAGGCACGAAACAGAATAAGACAGAATAAAAAGATCTATATGTCAGTAAGACATAAACAAGCCAAATGGTTAAAAAAAAAAACAAAAACAAAAAAACCTATGTGCAGACAATTCACAGAAAAGCAAGCAAAATAGCAAACAAGATGCTCAACCTCTGGAAATGCACATTAGACTTCCAAGGAGCAGGTCCTCCACACTGGCTCAGGGCCAGTCACTCATGTTTTACACTAGAGTTTATCGCTACTATCCTCTACAACCTGCCCACCCCTCCCCCAAATCTGACATTCTACTCTACAGTCACCACTTTCTTCATCTCAAACTCCATCCAAGTCAACGGTGCTACCAAAGGGTGACCCATGAGCCCCACAGCCCTCACCTCTCCCAAGACTGGTCTTATCTCCTTCTCCAATGTCAATTCAATGGCAAACATGCAAATCGCCCTTTTCTGTCTTTCATTTAATTCATTCATTTGGCTAAACCGTAGTCATGATTAGATCTCTTGTCCATCCCTCTGTACCTGCATCTGTGCAGGAGAAAGTGAGTGGGGAAAACACATCTGCTCTCTCCTTACATTCACTAACCAGCAGTGGGCCTCTATTACCATCCAGCAACCTCATATTTTCCTATTTTAGTCACACTCCCACCCTGTCAACAACTATTTCCTGCCTCCTACTCTCTCCGCACTCCCTGGTCATCTCGTGCACTCTCAGGACTTAGGATAGTGTCTACAAGTTGATATCACCCAGTGTCCATCTCCAGTGCCAACCTGAATCCTGAAGCCCAGGATCCAGATTCACCTCCACCTTTCTCCTCCCTGTTGTCTGCAGAAGTTGATCTAAATGAATTGTAGCAACGGGCTTCCCTTGCCTTCTGGTTTCCAGCAGGCTTATGGGAAGCACTGGCAGGAGACTAGACAAGAATTTAAGACCAGAATATTTACTCTCCTGTCTCCCTCTATCTATGATCTCTTGACCAATGGTGATTTCATCCTCTCACGGTCAACTTCCCTATGTGAATCTCTCCATCAGAGATCCAGTAACTAGGAGTGGAAACACCCTGTGTTAACTGTCACCCTATTAGTGCACTCTCTCTCTGCTTTCCTATATGCTGCTGACAACTTTGTCAACGGAACGTGCCATCTATTTCTAAAGGAACACCAGTACAGATAGCTAGCGGGCATCTCAATGTTAATACACGGGAAATGGAGCACCCCCTATAATTTTACCCATATTGGTTATGGCAACCCCGTTCTGGCTGTTCAGAACAAAAGTCAGATGTCATCTTTATACATCTTTATCTCATGCCCTACATTTGCAAGCCCCACATGTCTTCGCCCACCCAAACAAAGCAGAATCCAGCCATGCTTTGTCAGCTCTAATGCTACCACCCTGGCTGCAGCCACCCCCACTGTGAATGAATTACTGCAACAGACTCCCTATTGGTCTACCACTTCCTCTCCAGCTTGTTGGCAGGTCATCCCAACACAACAGCCAGTATGAGCCTGTCAAATATGAATCAGCTGCAGGTTTCCCGTGATTTCCAAATACAGAACATTCCTCTTTGGTATGATTCGTTAGGTTATTTTTTGGACTCTGGAACTACCATTATCACTAAGTCATATGGGAAATATTTTCAGTATCCCCAGACCCAAAAACTAACCTACCAAATCATACCAAATAGGAATAATCTATTTTCAGATAGTGGAGGAAACAGATTCATTTGTCACTTCCAAAGCCTCTGCTGGCTGCTCCTCTCACTGTTCCGTAAGTCTCCCCATGATCTGACCCCATGATGCCTCTCTGACCTTTTCCTCTACTTGTTCATTTTGCGCCGCCAGGCCAGCCTCCCTTGCTATTTCCTATACCACTACCTCAAAGCCTCTGAATTTACTATTCCCTCTGCCTGGACACTCTTCCTAAAGACATCCTCAGTGCTTGTGCCTCCCTTTCTCAGGTCTCGACTGAAATGTCAGCTTTATTTCTAACCCAAGCAATTGTTGCCACTTAATATCTTACATAATTTTTAATTGTTTGTCTCTGCCCTCTAGAATGTCACCTCCATGAGACAGGGGTTCTTGTCTGTTCTGCCCACTGCCACATGCTCAGTGTCTAAGGAACCACCAATGAGCAGTGGGCTCTCCAATATTGTATGAACAAACCACAACTAGATTCCATTCCATCCATCAGCCACAATTAAAAAAACTGAGTCTGATACAGGCATTTCAAAAACAGGTAGATGAGGGGAAAAAAGAAAGGGAGAGCTCAACAGGACCACTAAGTTGGGAAGAAGAGGGAATTCAAAACAAACTGTCAGAAAATATTTCATTTTACTTCTCTGCTCCTCACATCTTTATCCTTTAAGTGTTCTTTTTTAACCTGGCTCTGTTAAAAGCCTCTCCAGCAGTACAGGGAGGGAAGCAAGCTGAAACAGTTGGGCCTAGAATAAGTAATATTTTGGCCTTGTTGATAAAGAAGACCCCCCAAAAGCAAAAGGGAAAACTTTTGGTGTTGAGCTACATTAAGGACTCTAAAATGCATGCATACGCTAATCTGCATATTTCTGGCCACAAAAGGAAAAAGCAAACATTCTAAAACTTCATAAAGCTGCCATAGAAATATTTAAGTACTGATTCCTCTGAAATTAAAAAAACAGAACACTTGTTTCTCAGATATCCAATTTAGAGGGGCATAATTCAGCATTTCTCATTTCTATAAAGCCTTTAACCATTTCAACCAGGAATGATGGAAGCCATCCTACATCACTATGTGAGCACATGGACTTTCACTTAAAGAAAAAGCCCTTTTCTCCTTGCAAACCATTAGACACATTGTCCTTTTCTTTGGATTTTAATTCTAAGTACAAAGGATCAACTGCCAGTTAGTAAAGTGTAGTTTATACAGAAACACGAATAAAAAAAACAAAAATATAAATAAAAAGAAACACAAAACATCTGCACTTTCACAGCACTACGCAGTAAGTGTGCAGCTGGAATTCATACCTGCGGAGCTGAGGAGGACACTGAAATCTGTGCCCCTCTGTGATTCTCCACCTTCACGATCGACTTCTTTTTCAATATCTTGATATCGATCCCAGTTAGAGACTACTTTTCTTTTAGAATAATATCCCTGCTCCTCATTCTCTTCTCCATAGGTCTCTGCATCACTGTCCTCTTCAACCTGCAATCATTAAAGCACAAATCAATAAGCAGGCAGTGGAAATGTTGAGTTTAGTAGCCTTAGAAGTAAAACAAAACAAAAATGTAATACACAAAGGTAGCGTGATAAAGAACAACTTTATATACCATGCTCTCCGAGGACATTGAATAATATTGCATGAGAATCCCATTATACTAAGTACATTTTCAGGGTAAACTTCATTTAGCTTTGAAAAGGAAATCTGGCTAGTTTCTGCCTAGAAAGTTGTGTAACTGGTAGATCTAAAGTTTCCCCCAGTGCATCTTATTCCAACAGTTCTCTCACTTTAGTTGACAAAAACAAGGCTGTAAAGAGTTTTAAACTCAAAGGACTCTAGGATGGAAATCCAGTCCTTCAATTTACAGGCTTTACAAACACACTCCAAGACACATTTTATAAGCTTTAAATGTGGACCCTACTCACCTGCATTCTAGAGAAGTTTCTAGTACTGGGCATTGAAAGGCTTAGAGAGCCTACAGAAAAATGTAGAATGTGAGAAATTATAAAAGATAAAGAGCCTTGATTCTTCAAGGAGTAAACTGCACGGGGAAAAATGGTGGGCAAAGGAGGAGAAACCCACAGGTTAAGAAAGCAGAATGGACACATGGCCAGTTGCAATGCTAGAAACTGCTTTATACTCTGATTCATGTAACTAAACAAGACATCTTATGAGATTATTGGAAAAATATGAACAATGACTGGGTATTGGGTTATATTATACTGTCCTCATTGTTATTATAATGTCCTCACCGGTTATACTAAAGAAATTCTATAGTTTTACCTATTTACTATTTGGTGTGGCATCAGCATTCTGATTTAATGTTGTCTCTTTTAGAAATAAATATGGAACTATGTATGGATGAAAAGATATGGAATTTGCTTTGAAATAATGGGGGAGGGAAATGAATAGTGAATAGAGATTAAATATATTGGGCGCAATCGATTGCTGAGCCTGGATGGTGGGGACATGGAAATTCACGATGTTATTTTATCTACTTTTGAATGTGTTGGAGATTTTCCACAATAAAATAATTAAATTTTTTTAAAGATTTATTTACTTATGCTTACAAGAACTGGGGTACAGGCCAGAAGTCGGGGGAAGGGGGTGAGAGGATCCACCAGAGACACAGTAGGGAACAGAACAGGCAGACTGGCTGAAATACACTGCTGAAGGGAGCAGTGGGCGAGACAGGAGAGGTCTGCTGTGCCATGTAGGTAGCTCCCTGGCCAGGGATCGAACCCATGCTGCAGAGGGTGCCGATAGCTTCGTAGTGCCACGTCTGAACCCCTTGTGCCACCAGGGAGGCCCCAAAAATGATTAAAATTTTGAATTGATAGAAGCCTACAGAATCTGAAGACCATTTCAAAAAAGGATCCTAAGGATCACATCATCCTTATAAAGGAAAAAAATCTTGTAAAATGCATTGAAACAACCATTTGTACAGAACAGATTAGTACAGACTTTTTTAAAAACAAGTTTTCATTCACACAGAAACCAGATGTGGTGCACTGCAGGAAATGAGAAGACAAACAAAAGCCCGTCACTGCCCTCCCCCAGAAAGCACCACCACTGACACCTTCGGGCAAAATTTCCTTCACAGGTGGTTTGCCCAAAGCAGCATCCAACCCAAGACAAGGCACTCTATCTCACTGCTTGTCCCCTAGTCTCTTTGAGCACAGAATAATCTATTTTTGCAACACTGATTTATGGAAGAGACCAGTCCAGGTTAAGTGCAGAATATCCAACTTCTGGGCGGCTGCTTCCTTGATTGAGGTCTTTGTTTGCAGACTAGTTGATAGACAATGTCAGATTAAAAAAATCTAAATGCCCAAAGTTAAATGCTTTTTGGCTAAAATAGATCATAGCTGTACTATGATGTAACACTGACATTTCTGAACCTTATGTTACATTGTTGTGGAATTCCAACCCTTGCCAGAGGAAGGGCCACGCCGCAAAGGGAGAACTGAGAAGATCAGCAAGTTTATTATGCTGGCGGACCCAGGGGAGTTATGTCCAAGATTCTGGGCCCCAAATGTAGGGGTTACAAGCTTTTTGTACCTGTTACAGTTTTGCATGCGTGGCAATCCAAACAGTTAACCCTGGTCTAGGGGTACAGAATGAGGAAGTTAAACATGGTTGCATAAGCAGGGCGGTTTGGCAGAGTTATTTCAGAGAGAACTTCTCCAGGTGGTACAGACGTGGCACAGACATTTAAATGTTTTTCAGACTTCTCTATCAACATCACACAAAGTGACACATGATTAACGGCTGAGCCAATATAAGCCACGCTAAGGTTAACCAATGAGTTTGGGTGTTGATCCACCCACAGCACAGATATTGCCCTATTACGTCTGGTTTATAGTCCACGTGGTGTTACTGGATTTGCTGTCTTTTAAAAACCAAAACAATGCCACAAGGTGTAAACGTAAAGCAAGCATAAGGGAACCCACACACAAACTCACACAGAGGCTGCTCCCTCCAAGAGCCACAGGGGAGCAGGGGAGCCAGAACTGGATAAAGCACTCACCTTATATCTCAACGTGCTATTTTTTTTCTAAAGGGCAGGGGGCAAGGAACACTGGTACTTCTAGAGGGCAGGAATGTGACTATTTATTTTCTTTTCTTTCCAATTATTTTGTTTCAAGCTCTCATTTGCCACGTACTTACTCTGGAGTCACATTGGTGGGGAAAGCTGGTAGCACTGCACAATGAGGACGGTATAATACCCAACTTTACATGTGACTTCAATGACCTTCAAGGTATATGTTGACAATATGTGATTTCAGCTTAAACTGATTACTTAAATATTCATCCACTTGTGTGGAGTTATTTCAGTCCACTACAAATTTCCAATTCCTCAACAACCTAGCAAACTGGACCACAGTGACATTATAATACTTACTGAAGCATATTTTATAAGCTTGCATAAAAGAATGGAGCAACTGACCTTTCAAGATTAGTTTCAGTCTTAAATATCATAAGCCTCCTTGACAGCATAAAAAAGACGGCAATCCCCATTATAATTCAGGGATTGCAAAGACTGCTTAACGCCTAAGTTTCCTGCGATTCTTCCAAGTATCTCAGAACTGAAAGATGACAGCAGATTAAAAGTATGTGACTGAAAGAGAGCTGCCATGTAAATAACAAATACCAGGGACATTCTAAAGAAAACAGCTTTGTAACTTATGAAAATGTGAGAGTGAGACCTAGAGATGAAAATACCAGCAGGGTTGAAACTAAGAAAATTCAATATTCTTTTGTTGGCCCACTGGGTAAACAGAGTTCAGAGAGGCCTCTCCAGTTAGTACAAAACTTCTGAACACAGCTATAACACCTAGCAAAAATGTAAGCCTGAGCATAATAATTTGTTTGATGCAAAAGAGGATTATACCTGAGGAACTATTAATACAAGGAAACAAGAACTGAAATGGGAAGCAGGAGATCTAGACAGAATTAATGGCCCTGCCATCACCATCATTTAATATTTACAAAGTATTCTCTCATAGGCTGGGCCTCACTCAGCTGAGGGACTCACTAATCCCCAACTTAGAAGAATCACTGAACAAGGATCTCATTATTTGCCCCCCAACTGCAGCGAGAAGAGGACTCACCATTAGCCTCCATCACAAGAGGGTAGTAAAAAGTAATAAAGTTTAGAAAACATTTGGTAGAACTTAGAAAGAGGTGTACCCTAGAAACTCTTAAAAGATTTTATGTTTGGTTCATAATGTGAAGTACTGGGACAAAATAAAATATGCAATGTCCCAAGATGGAGAGAAAGAACAGAACAAGTAAGAAAATGCTGATGAAAGCAATGTAAAAGCTGTAAAAATAAAGTCATCATTATTATGTTAACATCATAACATCATTACGAAATGAGTCTGGTATACACTGAAAACTATAAAACACTGATGAAAGAAATTGAAGACAAAAACAAACGGAAAGATAGTCCATATTCAAGGATTGGAAGAATTAGTATCATTAAAATGTCCACACTGCCCAAAGCAAAGCTACGGATTCAGTGCAATCCCTATCAAAATTACATTGGATGTTTGCTTTTTCTGCTTTTAAGAAATAGCTCTATTGAGGTATAATCGATGCATAAAAAATGGATGGATACAAGTTGATGAGTCTGGACATATGCATACAACCATGATACCAGTACCACAATCAAGGAAATGGACATACCCATCACCTCCAGAAGCTTTCCTGTGTTTCCCTACTATGGCATTTTTCACAGAAACAGAACTAACAATCCTAAAATTTGCACAGAGCCACAACACAAAACATTTAGGCAAAACAATCTTAAGAAAAGCAAAGCTGAAGATACCACACTCCCCAAATTCGAAACCATATTACAACAGCAATCAAAATACGGTATGTTATCAAAATAATAGTAATGAAAATAGTATGGTACTGTAACAAAAACAGAGATATAGGCTAATGGGACAGAACAAAGATCAGGAAAAAAACCCATGTGTAGATGGTTGATTAATTTACAAGAAAGGAACCAAAACAATACAGTGGGATACATGTTGTTGGAAAAACTGGGCAGACACATGCAGAAGAATGAAACTAGATCCCTTAGAGGATACACAAAAATTAACTCAAAATGGGTCAGTGAGTTGAACACAAGACCTGAAGCCATAAAACACAAAGAAGAAAACATAGAGGGTAAGCTGCATGATTTTTTTTTTTTTTGATTTGGCAACAAAAGCAAAAATAAACAAGTGGGAATATACATTGAACAAAAAAGCTTCCATGCAGCAAAGGAAACCAACAAATGATTTTTGTTCTGTCCCATTAGTCTATAGAATGGGGGAAATATTTGTAGATCATTTATCTGACAAGGCCTCTTCTCCCATAACACATTTTAAAACCTATTATAAAAGTTAAAAAGTTCTATTTCTGTCTACTATAGGTAAGTAGGAGCAAGAGAGAAAATGACTCCATACAGGAGGAACTCAAATACACAGAAACA